ACGGGGCGTATTTGTGCAAATCTTGAGCACCTTACAGCCGTACAAGTAAAATATAGCACGTGCTACAAAATTTTAAAAATAAATCGCATGAAATATAATACAAATTGATACCAAAATCGAATAAATAAACTACTAAATTGTGCGAAACGCGCGCCTCTCCGTTAGTAACTAGAAAAGAATTCAAAAAAAAACTGAAAACTTTAGTAAAAAAAAAATTAAAAATAAAAGCGCACAGCACGGTGCAGTAACATTTATGCAACGATGTAATATTGCGGCAACGCAGCTGTAAATCGTTGCCAACAGATTTATTTTTTTTTTTTGATTTTTCAGCCGGTGCTTTTGCTACTATTTGGGTGGTGCTGCAATTGTGGTGGCTATTCCTGTAGTCGTTTCATTTTGTTGTTGTTGTTGAAAAAGTTACGCAAATGTTGTGCATAGCGTATAGAAAGTGAAAATGTTTTCAAATTTACATACATATGTACATACATACATATTTACATTGTACATATTTACCTAGAAAAACAAATGTGTCCTATCTAAGCAAGAAAATATGTAATTACTCGTAGGTACGCGAAAAAAAGCCAAGAAGGAAGTGACTCGCTGTGTGGCGATGGGTGATGGGCTGTATGTAGCATACAAATTTGTAACAAAAACAAAGGTCGAAGCAATTTTCATACAAACTGTGTCGAATACGAAAATAAATACTTTATGCAAATGTATGTATGTACTACATATGTACATATGTATGTATGTTTGCATAAGTAGACATCAGCTTGTGTTGTGGTATTTTTTGTTATTGGCATACTATTCTTACGCTGGCATACATATATAGGTATATTAGTGTGGTCAAAAAAGGTTAAGAATTTTAATGCTCTGAACCAGTAGGATTGTTCTATATCAAGAAAAAAAATTTACTCTTATTTTTTATTTTGAAATCAAAAAATATTTAGAGGTCACTCAAAGCGTTTAAAGTTTCCCATGTATTTTATATGGGGGGAAAAATGGTCCCCCATTGCATTTTCTGGGGTTTTTGGCAGACCTATAAAATCTAGTTAGTATAAAAAACTCATTAAAGAAACAATTGGGAGTCTCCTGAAGAGAAACAGAGTTGTCCGATCGAAAAATATAGACTTTCAAGAATTCTATACCATTTCTACGAAAAGTGGGTTTTTTCCCATATAAAATACATAGAAAACTTTGAACGCTTTGGGTGACATCTAAATATTTTTTTGATTTCAAAATAAAGAATAAGGTTACATTTTTTCAGTATAGAACAATCCAAGGGAGTGAGAGCATAAAAATTCCAATTTTACTTTTTTCCACATACATTTTTAGACCACCCTAATGCATATATATCCATTACATACACGCAATATGATTGAGGTGACAAATGGAATACCACTGAGCTTCAAAGACTGACACCTAGGCCGTTAAAGTGAGTTTTTCAGGCGGCCGAGTATAAGAAATACCTTCCTGAGCCCAGTAAAATTTTAGCACTTCGATGTTTCTTCCCAGTTAACAATCATCTTAGAGAGACGTGCTAAGCCTGATCTAAGGACCACCAGGTCGAAGGTGACACTAGAACGCATTTATCAACTACGGATTTATCAATTTCTCTCCTTCTTGCCGGCAATGCTACAGGTGGCCTAGTCGTTTCTGATTCCCTGACTGGAAAGTAGTATTTTGAAAGTATGCCCGATGATATTCAACAATTTTTATTGAGCTTGAGGCCGGTTTTATTGAATAATTATTGTGGAAAAGCAAATTATTATTGCTGCCCTGCATCCCCTGCGTAATGAAAAAAAAGCAAGCATTTGAAGATTTTAAAAGAAATTAGGTCAAATGAGGAGTCTATCTCTGAGTGAAAAAAAAATCTAAACGTATTCGCAATTGCAATTTAGAAAATGTAATCAAAACTAAGCAATGTCTTCATAAGTGAATTTCTTGTATAAGTAAACATTAAAAAAGTGAACTTAATAAAAATAAAATTAGCTTTTGTAATGTACGGCAATAGCTGTCTGTGACATAAAAATGCATTCTTTATGACAAGCATTCGCATGCCATAACTTTATTGAAGCGCCATTTTTGTAGCAGCAGGCGAAAATTTCGTCAACGAAAATTACGTTTGCTTTCTAGCTTTTGAATGCATCCACATTTGTGCGCATTATTCAAATTTAAATTTCCCGTGACGTCTACAATTTAGACGCGGCATCATAAATACCCTTTTTCCGTTGTCAACGCACTTTGCGGAGCATTTTGTGTCGTCAGCTTGTTTGCGGCGCGTCAAAATGACCGCTGCGGCATGGGAGCTTACGGCCGCATGACAACTCATAAATGCGCCAAAATGCAGTAAAATTAATTTTTTTTTTTGACTACCCTTATAAATTATAAAAATATCTTGTAAATTGGCGAAAAAAAGTGACAGAAGATTTTACAATAAAAAATATTTTCGGATTCTTGGTGCAAATGCGTTAAGTGCTTTCACATTTTTGATGAGTAGAGTTTTGTTGAGCGTATGCTTTCATGAGCGGCATATGTTTTGATTAACTGTTAGATAGCCACTGCAGGTGCGTAGAGATTTTAGGCACTGCCTTGTACTTTGTCTGAGTAGGAAATTGTTTATGAACTAATTGCAAATGGGTCAACTAAGTTTGGTAGCTGTGCCCAATAAAATATTTTTAACTTGTTATAAATACAGATCTCACTCGATCCGATTTGACTAGTTGGGAAGAAAAGCTCATTTAGAAATAGTTGGCTAAGTTTCCCGCATAGAACGTTTTCATAACGAACATCGTCATCATATAAGCTAAGGTTATTGGTTGAACAAGTTATATCTACAAATGCAGATTGTTTTAAATATTAATGAACTCAAAACCGAAAACTTAATGAAAAACTTCTGCATAGCTAAATTTAACCTTGTCAGCGTAACTCCAATCAATGTCCATCAAATCAACTCACCCAAAAACCTGTAACCACCTAAGCGATTTTGACCCTCTTCCTATGGTCAAATCCCGTCAAATTGGCCGTTTCCTGGTCTAAATATTGGCGAAAATACTTTGTGAGGTGCTACAAAAACAACACTAGCCAAGTATGTTCGATAACTTGACTAAATGGTTCTCTGCAATATCTGTACGACTCAAAATTCAAAAATACAAAACTTCTGCTGATGTTAAGTGTCTCATGTCTCTAATAATTGTCTAATATATGTCTTATCTTTACGACTTATTTAAGGGATCCTTACTACTTACTTTCGTAAGTATCTGTAGTAAGGGGTCTGGTTTTTTTTTTTGAATTTTGAGTTGTGCCGTTATTGCAGAGCACCACCGATATAGAAATATTAGGATGACCTTTAAAAATATCAACAGCTAAATTTTGTTCGATTTCAAGTCAAAATTTTCAAAAATCAAAATTTCTTCGTACAAAAAAAAAAGAATTTAAATAAAAGTGAGTCTCCGACTTGAAAATTTGATTTTTGAAAATTTTGACTTGAAATCTGATAAATCTCAGTTACAGCGGGGTCAAATTCAAATTGCAGTAAAATTTTAGCGATTTAAAATTTAGTTTTTTTTTTCAAATCTGGTAGCGACGCTCCTAAATAAAGAAAAATTCAAAATTAAAAAAAGAGAGATTTTAAATAAAAGTGAATCTCCGACTTAAGATTTTGATTTTTGAAAATTTTGACTTGAAATCTGATAAATTTGGCATATTATTAAAACTTGTTCAAATAAATTCATAAGCTCGCTGCATTATAGCTGGTCAAGGTAAAACTGTTGTAAAATTTTTGCGATTAAAAAAAATGATATTTTATCTCACCTGGAAGCAACCTTTATNAGCAACCTTTTATTTTTTTTTTAATTTTAAAATATTCCTGGTGGTATTCCTGTCTTAGTTTATTACGTAGACCAAATAAAGGTTTGCCATAAGATCCTGATATATTAAGCACCACCCTTATGTACAGCAAAAAAAAAATTAGAACTCAATAAAGTTGCTGAAATTCAAGATATGGTGGCAAGTTTGTGGTTTATAAATAGAGATTTCGATAACAACAACGATAAATGTCTATATCGTTACCGATAACAAAATAATATCAACAACAATGAAAGTATCAACAGCTATAAAAATATCGATAGCAACAAAAAGATCGATAACAATAAAAATCGATCGATATCAATTTTAACATAGGTAGACATAACGATATCGATAACTTTAAGTTATGCACGCAAAGATGTGATTAAAATTTTTATTATCTATATTTTTCTTTTTTTATATTTCTTTTTTAATACCTATTTGCGAAATTTTAAATTTAATTTATTTCAAATAAAACTAATCCCCTCTCTCTCTCTTTCTCTATTTTTTTATTTGCAGTTACACTCTGACGATTTCCAGTTCCCAAAACAGTTGCTTTTTATTTATGAATAATGTCCAGTACGCAACACCTGTGCCAAAAATTACAACAAAACTAGCAGAAGCAACAACACCAATAACGTGTCGAACTAAGTAGTTGTGTTAACAGTGTAACGGCATATCGGCTAACAGTGTTTAGAGATAACCGCGCATGCGCACTTCTTTTAACAGCAAACTGTAGCGTTTTAGGCAAATGCACGCGGCAAATAGAAATCTCCGCCATTTCGTGAATGTTATGGCCAGGAGATCAACGACGACGACGACGACTGTGAAAAGTGAGAAAAAATGCATTACCAACGAGGAAGACGAAGATGAAAATCGACGACAATTAAAATTCAATTGTGTAAAATATTATAACGGTATGGTGACCTAAATATGTAGGCAGATATTTATTTTGCGCAAAATAAAACAAAAAATAAAATAAAAGGAAAATAAGCATAAAAAGACTAAAACGACTTAAGATAAAGGTGAGAAAATAAATTTTCGAAAATTTCAGAGTCAGCAGCAGCGAATTTCCAAATAAAAGTAATCGATTGCGCAAAAAAGTAAAAGTTGTAATTGCATTGATTTATTTTGCACTATTTACAAAGAAAAAAAGATCGAAACGAGTGAGTGAGTGAGCGACAAAACTGTAAAAACATAAAAACGTACTACACAAAGTGGCATACAAATATACTCGAAATAAAGCAAAAACGTGTACCATCAGGTGTCAATTGTCAATAATAAATTATCATTTTTGTCAATTAAAAATTTCGCAAATTCAAAAAAAAAAAACTGCCAGCGCACTTTTTCCCAATCCCTTGGCAGCCAAATTTGGAGCACACGTCTCGCAGTGAAAAGCAAGAAATATTGGATTTTAACATTTCAATTTTCGGGCAGAGCGAAAGGTGTATTGAGGAGCGTGTCGAATAATTAATACAGCTTAAGTAAGCCAACACACAAACCGCTTCTCGAACTAAAGGCACCTATAGCCGCCACGAGGACTCCCGCTCGCCGCGCGCAATTAAAGACGAGCTTTTGCAAACCGCTTAAGATTTTGTGCGAAAATTATTTCGGCTACAAGTTTTCGCTGGTTATTGGCGGCGTGTATCAGTGGCTTAACGCCAGTACTTCAACTCGTTCATGCGAAGGAATTTACGACTGTATTGGAGGGCCCTAGCGCTGCTGGGTGCCCTCCTTTCGATATTTATTGATTGGCCGGGAATGATGATGGTGTATGCAATGCCAGCGATTTTAATACCAACGACAACAACAACAACAGCAACAACAAGCAGAGCAGTAGTGCAACAGCAAGCACACGCGAACACAATGGAAAATTTATCACCAGCGCACACCTACCACAGCGGTCACAGCGGTCACAGCGATAATGGGCTTGTAAATGATAGTTTCGCCTTAAATATTAATTTAAATACAAATCGAAATAGTAGCCATAGGAGTAACTATAGTGAAAGTGAGCAGCAACATAGCGCGCCACACTCCACAGCTGACCTGCCAAAAGGCCGCGTAGCAGAAAATGCCTCCGCCATGAGCGCTAATGTGAACAGCAAACGTTCAAGCGCTGGCAGTGTGCATGCAAGCGACAGCCGCGCGCCTGCGCAACACCCAGCGACGATCACAGGCGGCGATCAGTTGCACAATGCGCAGCACATCAAAATGCTGAATTTGATATCGAATAAGCGTAAGCGTAAAAAATTCAACGTCGACAGCGGCGCGGCGGATGAAGCGGCTGGGGCTGAGCTAGAGGGGGGCATCATCATCAACAGCGCGACCAGCGATCGTCAGCCAGCCGCAGAGGATGCGGGCGAAGATATCACCACCACCACCAACAACAACAAACCACCTAGTTTTAGTGAAAATAGTATTAGTAATAAATATTTAATTGAAAATAATTTAATTAATCAAAATCAACAAATGGCCACAGCGCCAAAACGAACGTTAAACAAACTCGAAACTACTACTACTACTACAACAATAACAAAAACAACAACACCTAGCAGTAATAATCTTAAAAATAATATAAACAATAATAACTATATAGTCTACATCGAAGAGCAGGTGCAAGCAACATTAGACGCCGTGTCATCAGAAGAGGCGGATACGGATGCGGTGGAGGAGGAGAACGAAGCATTATCACTTTATATGCCCTCCACCACTAGCGTCGATTACCTGGATGAGAGCAGCGGTACGGCGACAAGCACTCCCTACGCCATGCTCGACTCTTCAACGCCAGCTGTCGCCGCCGCAGCACCAGCGCCCTCACCCGCCTTCACATTTGCCTCAGCGCATCACGCAGCCATAGTGCTGTCGCGCACCGAGCGTAGCGTGCGCGAACCCACGCCAGCAGTTGCTTCCTCGCCATCCCAGGCGGAAGCAGATGTTGCGTCGGAGGCGGCGGCGTTGTTTAATCGGCGCGTCGCTGGCGGTCAGGTGGTTGTACGTCATCATGGTGGCAGCGGCGGTGCCAATGGTGGTGCTGGTGGTGGTGGTGGTGGTGGTGGCATAGTGCGACGTTCCTCTGACGGTAGTCCGAAATCGAGAAGACTGAACAATTTTAGAAATTTAAATGGCAGCAGGCATGTGCCGAGCAATTTGGATCGCAACGAACGTTCGACCATTTCGCATTTGTCCGGTTTGGCGCGTAAAATTCAAATTTACATTAAGAATCGCTTCATACAATTGCTGCCCGATGGTACGGTGAATGGAACGCAGGATGAACAAAGTGATTACAGTGAGTATGAAAATTGTGTTTGTTAGATTTTTGTATGTAGATGTTTTTATAAGTATGAGAGCCCCTGATGATTAAAAAGCTATAACTACATACGTAGTAACCAAAAAAGTTTAACACATTTGAGTGAAAAAGTAAAAATAATTTGTCTGCATCTGAAGCTATTCACACTCACGCCTTTTTACCTCAGGGGATACCCAAATAGTTTAGTGGAAGTTCGGAAAAAGGCGAGGAAATACTTTCTGGACTGACGAAAGCCCCGTTAAATTAGATCCTACCTCGGAAAGGGTTTTTGGGATCATTAAAAGTTCCCTTTTTAGGCCACGTTCGTAATCATCATCAAAAATTATCGTCCCTACTTGATTTACGTTTAGCTTTCTTGATACATATTCTTTGCCACTAAAGACTCTAAAAGTTCTTACATATTTCTCATTATTTTATCATGGAATATAGCAGGGTTTCCAAATACGGTTAGTGGAATTTTATGAAAAGAAATAACTATACATGTGTTTAATACTGTTCATACTAAATAAAAATAAACATGCCTACTATTTAGTACGTATATGCGTACATATTTCTAAAGATTCCGTTCGATAGTTGGCGATGATGAAATTGATCTCTTTTATTAATTTCCTGACTTGTCTATGAATTAATGGGTGTTTTATGGTATTTCGGTATGGACCTGAATCCACTAATCAAAAAAACAAATATATGTATATGTATGCAGGTATGTATGTAAAATCTATGGAAACTTTTTTGATTTATTACGCATTTTTTTGTGGTTGAATGAACTAAATCTCATCACTAGTCTATAGGCATCAATCAAATCTCAGTTTTTCCGCATATGTACATATGTATATATTCATAGAAACATTTAGTAGAAATTTTTTATTATTGTTTTCATAACAAATATGTAATAAATACATATTTACGCTAATTTCAAAGTCTTAAATCGTTCTACTTGCATGTATGAATTTAAAATAAGTACATACTTATGTACATATTTTTATATGTAGCAATCTTTTGCAGGCATGGCGGCGACGTCTTGGCTCTTTATTTATTCAAATTTTTATGAGCTATTTTATTAGTCATTGCCTAATATTTAGTAGTGGCTTACAGTTTTTTTAGGTTATCTCTCTTTTATTACTCGTAGTACATATATGTAACAACTATTAGGTGCGATTAATAAGCGGAAATTTTATTTGTTCATCTGGTACAGATACAAACGTTTGTAGATCGCATTCGCACTTGCGTACATACAGATGAACATACATACATATGTATGTATGTGAGCCCATACCCTGCAGAAAAAAATTATCAATTAAAAAAATTGCGGGATTTATATAAAATATATAAATTGTAGTTAGCAACAAAAAGCTCACTAGAAACTAGTTGACAAGTAATGATTGAGGAGATTGTTTTCTTTAAACGCTTTTCTATTAAAATATCCTGCACTTCGCAAATAGTTTTTCTAATTGAGGACAAATAAAAGGAAGATCGAAATTTCATATTATCATTTTGAAATTATGTTTGACGGAATTCGAATATGGGACCACCTACAGCAGAATATGTAAACAAATATAAAATGTATTAACATCAATAAAGCAAATAAATAAAAAAATAAAAAAATAAAAAAAGCAAAAAAAAATTTTTGTTTTTCCTATTCATATTTTATGTCGAAAAGTAGTTAGTTGACTATTTCGCGGCCATCGCCATAGAAATATAGTTAGCTTTCGTCAAAGAAAAATATACTGGTAATAGTGACTTTTAGCTACCTCCTAATCAACTTAAAGTTAGCTTATAGTTAGATGCATTTCCTGCTGGGTATTTACTTGCGTAAATTTGTATAAGTGCTTGCGAAAATATTTAATTTGAAAGTCTTTTTTTATTTTGCGGCAGAGTTCGTTGAACTAGAAAAATAGGCGAACAATTTAATATAAAAAACTAAATTGTTTTAGCGAGTAATTATTTATAATCTGTTTATTTAGGATCTAACATAATATGTATGTATATGCAAATAGTATGTTTTGGTGTTTAAAAAAAGGGATTAGTGAAAATTATGACAGGCACAATATGAGAAGTTTAACATACATATATCATCGTTTCAAGTACAAAACCGCGTATGTAAGGTCACCAAAATTTTACAGGCAAGATTAAAAATATATGCTACTCTTGATCAGCGGTATTGCAAATATGCTGTTATTTTTCACTACATAGTCTAAAATCGATATCTTGGTATGAATAGATAAAGCTTTATGCCTGGAGCTTCCTATGAGCAAATCAAATTTTTGGCACACATGTCAGTTATGCAATTTTGCAAAACGACGATAGGCGATGCTGCAATTTAAACGACGATAGCTATTCATATAGTACCATTTTTGTATTTGTAGTTAAGAGTTTTATTTTAACTTCTAAATATTCTGCCCGCTACATGAATTTATGGGCGGTCTAGTAATCTAGTATTCGTGAGATATTTTAATATTGAGCTTTAATTTTTTTTATTCATTTCCATTGCTCATGTGAATGAATTCCCATCCCACTTAGGTGATAGTCCTTCAAATGATTCTTGGATAAGCTTATGCTTTGTTTACAACGTTTTTAAATTATACATTTCTCTAAGCGCTTTAGAATACTCTAAATCGGACCGATTATCGCAGTAGCGTTTTCCGTGACCCTCTTCGTTTTGTTCGGCTAGGACAAAAAGTGCCCCTTTTCTAGCCTACAGAAGTAGTTTGGCCGATAAAAGTGGTTGATTTTTCTCTCTTCGCTAATTTAATGGCAATCGCATGCCCCACAGTACTAAGGCATCCCGAAACTCACACAACTAAGTATAACTCGATTGGTCAAACCGAAAGTGCTCAGCTTGTTACGGTGCTCCGTCACCAGTTTTAATGCTACGTGAAGCGATGATAAGGTCTTAATAGTCTCGATACGGTATTTCAATCTCAGTTCAAGTACACCAACCACGGTGTATTCTTCACTCAATTAAGTGGGTTTTTATATGCTTCGAATATACCTAGTAGGAAAGATCTTGCAATTGAAAATGTCCTCGTTTTTGTTCAGCGTTCGCTGAGCTAACTCGAGTCCCATCATTTAAAAGTCAAAGCTACTACAATCCCACTTTTCTAGGTGAGACTGACTCGGTGATGGCTTTCCTGGCCAACTCATCCGCAACGCACTTTCCTCCGATGCCGCTCTAGACAGGAACCCAACAGACAAAAATTAAAATTAATAATTTTTTTTAGTTAACTACCCCTCTTCTATAGTTATTGTGTAAAAACTTCATAGCTGTATCGATTCACAACAGCTTATTAGATACATCCGTTTACCTCCTTCCAACTACTACTTCATTCATCTGTAGAGACGATGTCAATAAAAAAATACCTCATTGGTGTCCAGTTCGTTATGGATCTGACAGGAAATCGCTAAAATCCCCCTCGATGTCGAGATGAATCCCTTTACGATTTCTTAAGTTTTCCTTAATCGATTTTTTGTTTGTTTCCCATTATAATTTTGAATACTTTCCAATTTATGCGGTATTTAACTTGATCTGTTCCACAAACCTAAAGTTTACGCAATTTCGTAGCATTTCCAAGACTCATATTCTCACTGATAGGCCTAGCGCTATTTTTACTGTTATATTCATAGTGTTTTTAGTTTAGAATTTCGAAGTATTTATTCAATCCTCCTTTCGCTGCTTTCAAGTGTGCTTCGTATACAAAACTACATACATACATACATATGCATCTACATACATAAATAAATGTCCATGCTAATCCCATGCGTGTCGAAAAAAAAAAACACTTTCACTCAGAAAAATAATGAATTTTGAAATTTTCACGCATTCATCTGCGAAGGGCGAAGCATACACAGTGGCATTAAGTTTGCAGCAAGCAGGAACATAAAAAGTAATTCTATGACAAATTAGCAGTCTTAAAGTAAATCTTTTATGTATGTAGAATATGCTAAAAATTAGCGGATGCAAACATACATACATACTTACATATAGCTATATTATGTATCAAAACGTGATTATGGGTATGACTAATTTCAAAAAAAAAAATATTTTGAAGATTGAATCCCAGTGGAGATGTGGTTGGTTGGTGATCTCCGAAATAGCATAACTTCTACCATTTATGAACTATTGTTGTTTGTTTTTTCATAATAAAAATAATTCATATAAAACGGACTCAAGCGGAAAAAAATTGTTTAGTAAACAAGAAGTAAAAAAAAGGTTCTGAAATGTTACTAAAAATGGAAGGAAAATAATATTTAGCATACAAAATAAGTTACAGGTTTTTTGATTGAAATTCTATTGACAACTAAGAATTTCAAAAAATTTCCTATAGCGAGTGGCTAGACTTCTTTAAATTTTCGAAATTAATACTTTTTGCCATTTGCTTTAATTTTTTCCTTCACTTTCCTATTCATTTGTTGTAACTTTTACTCTCATTGCCCCCTAATTAAAAGTGTTTACCCGGGCCACGAACTTTCATTAAACAAAAAAAAAAAAAACACGAAAAGACGAACCAACATTGCAGCGCAGTTAAAGTTGCAACTGTAACTGCAACGGCAACGGCAACAAAGTA